GGTGCACAGAAACTATATTGAAGGCCTAAAACTACATTAGTTAACAGAGATTCTTCTTCAGCTCCAGTGATGGAAACATGTATTTGTGGAAAAGTCTTGGGATTTGGTCTTTAAGTCTGTGTGGTCACAATGAACAGAACAGCTGACAACTATAAAGTCTACACACACGTCCATATCAGCTCATATATACTTCTAGCTAGCAAACATGAGATTTCAGCAGACCACAACTTAGAAAACCCAACATTATTCCCTTCCAACATATCAAAATCCTCACTGATATTATGCATCCAATTATTTCACTCCTTTTCTACAAATGCCACTCCTCTTAGCTTCAGTAAGTGAATGGTTGCTTGGTCTTCACAACACTTATTCAGCTAAGGCATGGCCCCAAAAATGACATCAATGGAAAGTCTGAGAAAGAAACATCACAAAACATCAGCACCTTGCAAACCATCAAAAGGAAAAGAAAATATTTCCTTTTAATGCTGTAGTTTGCTGCATCTTCTCATTTCTTTTATTATAGGAATAGCATCATTAGCCAATAAATTGCTTATGTGGCTCAGATTTACTTTGACATTTAACTGACCATTAATTTCATTTTTGTCTTGATGCTTCCCTGACATGAATGTTATTCCTTAAATATATCAAATTGTTTCATATTTCTTATAATTTTTGTGCCACAGGTTCTATCTTCCCTGTCTTTGCCCTCCACATCTTATTTGACACCAGTGGCCTACCAGCTGTCACCGTACTGATTGCAAATGTTGCTAAGTATCAACATGCAGCAAAGTCCAGGGCTTTCTCATAGGCAGTAGATTGTCTATATCACTATATTTTGAATGTCCGTTTGTCTATTAGATTCCAGTTATACAATAGTCAAAGCCTCATATAGACAGGAGAGCCTATGGCCTGATACAAAGCCCAATGAAGTTAATGGAAAGACTACTATTGATTTCAAAGGGCATTGCATCAGGCTCATATATATATATATATAGGTCATATATTATGGTCATATTTGAGGCCCCAAATAATAAGAATACACTTATATAGCAGGAGACAAAAGCCCATAGGTAAGTCCAAAACATTGAGACCTAGGTGTAGGGTCAGAATCTGGGGCCAACATGGACAATCACGGCAGGAGCAAAGGAGAGACAAGAGGAAATACAGATGGGAAATCTAATGATCATAGATGTCTGTATACTAATGTAAGGAGTATGGGGAATAAACAGGAAGAATAAGAAATACTAGTGAGTAATCACAATTACATCAAACTGGTACCACAGAAACTTGGTGGGATCATTAACATGACTGGAATACTGGTATAGAAGGGTACAGCTTATTCAGGAAGGACAGGCAAGGGAAAAAAGTGAGGAGGTGTTGCCTTGTATATCAAAGATGTATATACTTGCACTGTGGTTGAGATAGATGTGGGAGGAAGACCTGTTGAAAGTCTCTTGGTAAGAATAAAAGGGTTAAAAACAAAGTTTATATTATGGTAGGGGGTCCAATATAGACCACCTAACCGGGAAGAAGAGGTGGATGAGTCTTTTTTTTAAGCAATTAAAAAAAATCATCCAAAACACAGGACTTGGTAGTGATGGGAGACTTCAACTACTTACACATCTTTTGGGAACATACTACAACAAGGCACAGATTATCCAGAAGTCCATGGGATGTATTGGAGACAACTTTTTATTGCAGAAGGTGAAGAAAGAGACGAGGGGAGTGACTGTTCTAGATTTGATTCTGACAAACAGGTAGGAACTAGTGAAGAATTTGAAGGTGGAAGGCAGTTTGGATTAAAATGTTCATGAAATGATGCGTTCATGATTCTACAGAATGGTAGGAGGGAAACAGCAAAATAAAGACAATGAACTTCAAGAAGGCAGATTTTAGCAAACTCAGAGAATTGGTAGGTAATATTTCATGGGAAGCAAGTCTAAGGGAAAAAAGAGTTCAGGAGAGTTGGCAGTTTTTAAAAAAAGAAACATTATTAAGGGCACAAAAGCAAACTATCCTAATGCACAGGAAAGATAGGAAGTATGGAAACTAGGACAAATTATGAAGGATGAATAAAAAACCCAAAACCCCACACCACAAGCATGTAGGGACAAAATTAGAAAGGCCAAGGCAAAAAACGAGATTAAACTAGCTAGGGACACACAGGGTAACAAGAAAACATTTTAAAAATACACTAGAAGCAAGGAGAAGACCAAGAACAAGGTAGTTTCTATTACTCAATGGAGGAGGAAGAGACAATAATAGAAAATGCAGCAATGGCCAAAGCGTTAAATGCCTTTTTTGTTACTGTTAACTTATTTTGTGAAAACTCTGATTGGATGATTAACATAGTGAACTTCGGTATAAATGGGGTAGGATCTGAGGGTAAAATAGGTAAAGAACAAGTTAAGAATTACTCACAAGTTAAATGTCTTCAAGTTGGCAGGGTCTGATGAAATACAACCTAGAATACTTAAGGAACTGGCTGAAGAGATCTCTTAGCCATTATTGATTATCTTTGAGAATTCCTGGAGGACAGGAAAGTTACCCAAGGATTGGAAAAAAGGGCAAATATAGCACCTATCTATAAAAACGGGAATAAGGACAACCCAGATTGTACGCTTAACTTCAGTACCCAGTAATATAATGGAGCAAAAAATAAATTTGTAAACATCTAGAAGAAAATAAGGTCATAAACAACAGTAAACATGGATTGTCAAGAACAAATCATGTCAAACCAACCTAATATTCTCTTCTGACAAGGGAGAAAACCTTGTGGGTAGGGGGAGAAGCAGGTGATGTGATATATCTCAATTTTAGACAGTGTCAAAAGCCTTACTCTCATGAGCTTCTCATAAACAAACTAAAGTAATACAGCCTACAGAAATTTACTATCAGATGTGTGCACAACTGTTTGGAAAACCGTACTCGGTAGTTATCATAGGTTCACAATCGAGCTGGAAGGGCACATTGATTGGCGTCCCACAGGGATCTGTCCTGGGTCCAGTTCTATTAAATATCTTCATAAATGATTTGGATAATGGTATAGAGAGTTCACTTGTAAAGTTTGTGGATGATATCAAGCAGGGACGGGTTGCAAGTACTTTGGACAACATGATTAGAATTCAAAATGGTCTTGACAGCCCAGAAAAATGGTCTGAAATAAATAGGGTGAAATTCAATAAAGACAAATGCAAAGTACTACAAATAGGCAGGAATAATCAACTGCACAAATACAAAATGGGAAATGACTGCCTAGAAAGGAGTACTGCTGAAAAGGATCTGGGGGTTACAGTGGATCACAAACTAAATATGAGTCAACAATGTAAATGCAAAAACAAGTGAACATCATTCTGGGATATATTAGCTGAAGTGCTGTAAGCAATACATGAGAAGTAATTTTTCCACTCAGCACTGATAAGGCATCAGCTGGAGTATTGTGTCCAGTTCTGGGGACTACACTTTTGGAAAAATATGGACAAACTCGAAAGTCCAGAGGAGAGCAACAAAAACATGATTAAAGGTCTAGAAAACATGACCTACAAGGAAAGACAGAAAAAATTGGGTTTCTTTAGTTTGGAGATGAGAAGACTGACGTAACAGGGGGACGTAATAGTCTTCAAGTAAACAAAAGGTTGTTATAAAGAGTAGGGTGATAAATTGTTCTCCTTAAACACTAAGGACAGGATAAGGCGCAATGGCCTTAAATTCCAGCAATGATTTAGGCTAGACATTAGGAAAAGCTTCCTAGCTGTGCCGATAGTTACGCACTGGAACAAATTACCTAGGGAGGTTGTGGTATCACCGTCACTGGGGAGGGGAAGGAGGAAGGAGTTAAGAACAAGTTACACAAATACCTGTCAGGGATGATCTAGCTCAGTGATACGCAGACCAATGCGCAGGAGCCACGAATGGCTCTTTAATGTGTCTCCTGTGACTCCTTACAGCCCATGATATTAAAATATTGTGTGATTTAATTATTAACCCATCCAAGTTAGTAAAAGAATCCTGATTGGTCAATATGTTATTAACCAATTGTAATTGATAAAATAATAATACTTGGTCAGTCATTTTGTTGTGAGAATTTAGATTAGATACATAGATGCTCGATTAGACAATAAATGAAACAATGAATGTGGCTCTTTTGGATAATGTTGATGGCTAATTTGGCTCCTGAACCACGGATGTCTGAGTATCACTGGTCTAGATAATTCTTAGACCTGCCTCTCTGCAGGGGGCTGTACTAGATGACCTATTGAGGTCCTTTCCAGTCCTACATTTCTATGATTCTGTGATTATATTATCAACTAACCTTTAACAGAGGGATTTCCTGGAGAAAATAGCCTACATAGTTTTCCAAGTGCATTGAATTTGATCTTCCTGTATAACTAAAGCATTTTTTTTAACCTATCAAGATATAAAGTTCAGCTCCTGTACTTCTGGGGCTGTCTTCTTCTCCTTCTCATTTTCCTTGGTGTAACTCCCCTAAAGTCAATCAAGTTACTGTACTTCTGATTTACAAAGGTGCAACTCGAAGGAGAATCAGGACTACAATGCTTAGCAATGTTTCTGTAGCAGTTTTACTCTAAATTTCCAGGATAAGCTCTATTACATATCCATTTAGTATCTATTTGAAATGGAACATACCCATTTTAGTGTGCATGAATAATGTTAGCAATGCAGAATCTTTAGTCTAAAATTACATGGCTTCACCCTAGACTCTTGTCTCACTTTAAGTCAACAAAATCATATTCCCCAAATGACATTCTGGACTAAGTTACTGCTGAGTTTCTTCAGTCCACATCCATTTTATATTTTATAAAGTCTACTTCCTAATAAATGAAACTTGAACAGTAACAACCTCTATTAACCTGGGCAAAAAATATTCTAAGTGATTTCTGCACCTTCCGAATATTCCCACCTCCTTAAAAAAGGAGTCCTCCACCCCAGGCTTCACAGTTGCCGTAGTTAGTGAAAAAGAGTGACCGTCCCTTATTTACCTGTTCTGATGCTCTTGCAGGACTTGATAGATGCTGATAAGAAAGGTTTGATTTTTAAAACTCCCCACGACACAGTCCTTGTAGATTCGGAATTCCGCAGCAGTAACCGCCTCCCCCTCTGGGATCTGGGACAAGTTAAACTTGAACTCTTTGTGGTGTCGCTGGTGAGGTGTGAACTCCTTGTCATATTCAACTACAACATTACCAAAACAAAACAAAACACAACAGATTGTGACAAACTGAAATTAACAACAAGAGTTTTCTCACATTCTGTCATCTCACAGCTCTTTACAATATTCATTAAGCTCTATGTTAGCCTAGGAGGAAATTACTTTCATTATTTTCTCCATTCTGACGATGGGGCTATTGAAGCATAGAGAGGGACAGATACAATTAAGTGAGCCCAGTAAGTCAGTGGCTGACCCACAAACACATCCCAGATCTCCTGACACCCAGGTTTATGCTTTAGGCTTCCAATCAAAATAAAATAATATTTGTATGACATTATGTCCAGGGTTAAAGTTAACCAAAACCACCAAGTTCCTCTTCCCTTTGTGGAAGCTTGCTTTAGCTTGAGAACTGCAAGCCAGTGGCCTCGGTTTTATGATGCTCATAAATAGGTATGAGATATGTATGGTAAGTGAGACCCAAATCAGGCCACCTGCATTTATTTAAAGAGGTTTGCACCTTAGAATTTGCATTTTCTTCTCCAGAGGTTTTTCTTTAATTTCTCTTCCCTTGTATACCTTCATTGTGCCTTGTTTGGGTTTTAACTTAATCCACTGTCATTTTGTCTTTGTTCCCTGGATTTTAATTTTATAATCATTTGTTTTAAAATGTTTATAAATTACAAAGAATTAAAAAAAATCCAGTAAAGTTGCTCTCACCAATGGAGCTGAAACAGGAATTGTGTCGGTAATAAATAAATCAACATTATGTTATCAATGTGAACATGTAATTATGGATCAGTGGTGAGGGGAGGATTTTCCTTTTAAATCAGCCTGATGCTTTTTCTCCTTAACATGCCAACTTGCTCCTGCTCAGGAAGAAAGACCATACCATTCCCACCACCCCATCTTCCATCATCTTCAGATTACTTCCTACCTACGTTGGAATTTATATGGCCTTTACAACAACATTTGAGTGCCTCAAAATGTGCATTAAATTATCCTCACATTATCCTCCAGAGTTAGGAGAGATGCCCATTTTACAGATGGGAAGCTGAGGCAGAGAAGATTAAATGACTTGTCCAAGGACACAGGAAATCTGTGGCAGAGTGGGGAATTGAGCCCAGATCTCCTGTGTCTCAGTCTAGTGACTTATCCTCAAGCCCACTAAGAAAAGAAAAGCCACCCCGGTGTTCTCATTACACACAGTTAATGGATAGACACTCCTCAGCCTTTCATTTCTGTCTATTTACCCCCTCCACCCCCAACTCCAATCTTGGCTTCCTCTCTGTCCTCTCCCTATTACTAATTTGCAGTTGGAAGCTGTTCTTTCATTTGTGGTGCTGTATCTAGCTGGAACTTTACTGCGGTTCCCTTCAAGATATTTAGTCATTTCCTTCTCTTTGAAGCTTCCCTGGAAATCTTTTCACTTACAACTAACTGTGTGCAGTGCACTTTGTTGTACTATGCACTAAGGATGCTTTATAAAAGTTACGGTATAAATAGGTGAATTTGCAAACTGTGGTCATAGATAAAGGACTATTAATTTTGGCACCTCTACATCATTAAATATTGGCTTGATCAGTTTAGAATTTACACAAATGAGAGTACAGGCTATTGAGTCTAAGACAATGGTTTTCAACCTTTTTACATTTGCAGACCCCTGAAAATTTTCAAATGAAGGTGTGGACCCCTTTGGAAATCTTAAGACAGTCTGTGGACCACCCAGGGGTCCATTGGCCACACGTTGAAAACCACTGGTCTAAGAGCTTTCAGAAAGAGGGCTGGGTTGCCCATTGTATTCCTTTACCAATTTTACAAGTAGCGGTATCATTCCCTTCTAATGCTTCAGAATAGCATTTGTTCAATGTACTGTATCCTTCCGGTCTTCTTTATTGGCAGGTGTTGTTTTTAACCAAAAGTTTCATTACACTATAGGTAGGAATTTTTATTTGAGATTGCAATTGCTGTATTTTACTGATGGTCCATGTTGCCACAAAGCATCCCATCTAAAATCAGCTTTCAAGGTGGAATGATATAAGAGATTGAAATTCACCAGTATTAGTAGGCCTTTATTTATTTTGTATGTACTCTGTAAAAGGGGCTGGAATATCTAGTTATTTCTAAGAGCGTTGCATCTATTTTCATCCACTGAAGAAAGTGTAACCGAGCATACTTTTCTAAACACTATGTTGGCATATTTCATAAGCATAGAAGAGTCCAAGCAATAAAAAGGCAAGGGTTAAGATTAAAGAGACAGAGACCAAGTTCTGAACATCTGCTACAAGATATGCAGATATATATAGCGATTGGTGATGGAACGATCTGAATCAGCTATTGGGAGGGATGGGATGGGGAAGAATGAAACAATAATTCTTGTCTAGGAACTTATTAGACCTGCATGTCTCATTTAGCATGTAGCTTCTATACCTCTACAGGTTCCCAGATTCTACCAGTGCAACAGATCTGGGCTCTACTCCCCACTCTGTCTACTACACTTGTCACATAGTGTGGGACTGAATCAACATTGTGCTAAACAATGCAGTGTGGGGGGAAAAAACTACATAGAAAGGTCCCTTTTTCCAAGATTTGTTGCAAAAGATGAGGTTGGACGAGCAAAGGTAGATGGAGAAAAGAATGGTATGGAAATACGAAGAAGAAATGGGAAGAAAACTAAAAGGACAAGGAAGAGCCCCAGGAAAGGATGCTTGGGGAAATGAGAGAGAACAGGAGAACAAGAAGGAGACAGAAAGACTTAAATCAGAAAAGGAGAGAGACAGACAAGAAACAAATGAAGGAAACATTCCATGTCTCTTGCTAGTCACAGACAGGAAGCCCTGCCTCAAGATCTGACTCAGCATCAGTAAGCGTAGGAGCACAAGGAAAGTGCTGTCCCACCCGACAAGTGGTAGGAACACACCAAATATGAAGGGGGTCAGTTTTTTCCCATTAAAATATCTCCAGATTTCAATTTGGAGAAGTGGTGTGGTACTGAAGTACCTCCTCTCCACCTCAGTCCAAAATGTGCACTTAAAAGCGATACAGTCAATGTGAAATCTAGTCAATTTTTAAAAGAGTACAAAGTAATTTCAAGTGCAATACATGCCCCGAGTTCCTCTCTCAGTTTTTATGATCTGAAAAGCACATTTTAAAAATATCTTTGTCTTTCACTGTCATGGTGCAAAAGACCCACACAAACAGGGGAAGCGGACAAAAATTACTATAGGAGAAATGATTAAACTGACTGTACTCAAAGTGCTGTCAGAGTAAAGTAATTGAAACAAAGAAAAAAAAACTTTTGTTCTCCAATCTCTTTCAGCTACAGTAAACATAGACGTTAATGGTTACAGCAGCAGGTACAATAAATTCAGAAAGAAGTATTATTTTAAGTTGATTTTGTCCCTCTAAAATTAGTCCAGAAAGTGTCCCTACAATGTCACAGGACTAGGAAAATAAATAAATCAAGCTTGTATGAAACTAGCATAAAAGTTTAACTGTTTGGTTGGAAAGTTTTTCTCAAATTTCCCATCATATAGTGCAGCATGGTGTTTCTCCTTGTATGGGTGGGTCTGGTGGGATATTTAAATTGTATATATTCATCACTGTCACGCCATCAAGTTAACCATCAGTTGTTTTCATTCTACAGGAAAGCTTTAAACATAAAATCCCAACAGCTGTTTGCAGTGGGGCTTTTTACCATGATTTAGAAACAGTTCAATTTTAATGAAGAACTTGTGTTGTAAAAGCCACAGTAAACACCGAAAGGCAAGGTTCTAGCTCAGAGGTGGGCAAACTATGGCCTGCGGGACCCTCCTGCCCAGCCCCTGAGCTCCTGGCCTGGGAACCTAGCCCCCGGCCCTCCCCGTGGTGTTCCCCCTCTCCCGCTGGCGCAACGCTCTGGGTGGCCAGGCAGCACAGCTGCAGAGCCCCAGCCTGACCTGATGCTCTGGGCAGCACGGCTGTAGTGCTGCCAGCCACCAGTGCTCCAGACAGCGTGGTAAGGGGGCAGGGGAGTTGGGGGTGGTGGTCAGGGGGCGGGGCAGTCAGAAGGCAGGGAACAGGGGGCTTGGATGGGGCAGGGGTTCCAGGGGGTCAGTCAGGAAGGACAAGGGGGGTTGGATGGGGCAGCAGGGGGCAGTCAGGGGTGGGGGGTCCAGGGGTGGTCAGGAGACAGGGAGCAGGGGGTGGTGGATGGGATAGGAGTCTCGGGGGGGCCCATCAGGGGACGGGGGGGTTGGATGGGGCAGGAATCCCGGGGGAGCCATCAGGGGGCGAGAAGCGGGGGTGTCGGATAGGAGGTGGGGGCTAGGCCACGCCTGGCTGTTTGGGGAGACACAGCCTCCCCTTACCGGCCCTCCATACAATTTTGGAAACCTGATGTGGCCCTCAGGCCAAAAAGTTTGCCCGCCCCTGTTCTAGCTGCTGGTATTACACTGCATCAGGTGACCCATTATTCAAAGAACAGATAGTGCACACCAAAACACCAACAAGCAGTCAGAAGGAAAAAACAACTTCTTACACTGCTTTCCAATCTTTTTTTCAATGTGAATTTGTTCAGGCTGATCTGATCAGTAGTTTGTGAAAGTCCAAATTAATTTCTAACCTAAGGCTTCTGTATGTATTCAAGCTTTATAAGCTGATGGCAGAAGAAAAAATAAGGGAATCTTAACAGTCAACAGGTTGAAAATGAACTTCACATTGCTGGTCATCTTCAGGCTCTGAGTCTAGCCAATGTTAGCAGAGAAGAACAGAAGAAGATACTGCAGGACTATGACAAAAATTACAGCCTTATACAAAAGTTATCCTCTGAGTCACAATATATTTTTCTATTATTACTCATTTATTATGGAGTTTCTTAGGTACAGTACGGACCTGTAGTATCACAAGTAGAAATGGGACTGAGCTGTGAAGTTTGGGAGTGTTTGCATTTGGGATTTTGGTTTGGACTAATTTCTGGACATGACTATTGTTACAAGAAATGTCTATATGTGTATGTGTGTGTGTATATATATATGGTTAATAGAGA